GATCATTGAACATACCAGATACATTGTGGTTGAAAAAATATATTCCTCAAAATCTGGCAGATTTACTTAGATTAAAAGCCCTTAACACTAACACTAATGGTACTTATGAACACTTTGATTAAAGACCCTTAATACTGACACTAATGGTGCTTATGAACAATTAGATTAAAATCGCTTAACACTGACACTAATGGTGCTTATGAACACTTAGGTTGATAACCCTTAAGACTAATACTAATGGTACTTATGAACATTAATACGTGTTGATGGCGAAAAGTTAAAGGTTTGTTATACTCTCACACTTTCTCAGGGATACAAATAATAGCAGGCGAGTTTACAAAACACCATACGAATTAGGACGACTAAATGTGGTATACAGAATCGTACTGGTTGTGCTAGTTTTATCACATAAGAAAACACATGCAATAACTGGATCCAGTTTATTTCATCCCCCGAGTATATGTAATATTTGGAGCAAATAGGAGTGTTCTCAATTGTGATACCAAATTGATTCGGTGATTTAAAGTACATACAAATATTGCCTTCTACATTGTATTTAGTAAATGTGCGTCCAGCGAAACATTATAACATTCATGTGAGACAGTTAGGTGTTTTGAATTTTTGTATAAAGCTACGCGAGGGCTATCTGCGCTAGCCGTCCCTAATTTAGCAGTACAAGACTAGAGGGAAGGGAGCTAGTCATCACCACCCACCGCTAACTCTTGGGCTACTCTTTTACCAACGAATAGTGGGATTGACCGTCACATTATAACACCTCCACAGTTTAAAGGGCGAGCATGTTTGGTGTGACGGGGATTCGAATCCACGACCCGCAAGTTGCGAGACGAGCGCCTTAACCAGCTGGCCATGTTAGAGTGTTTATCATGGGAATACAATAAATGGGAATAACAATCATCCGGTACAGTTATTCGATACCATTATTTAGTTAGCCTCAGATCCATGGCTTCTTTGCTTCATGATTCGATACCATTATTCAGTTAGCCTCAGATCCATGGCTTCTTTGCTTCATGATTCGATACCATTATTCAGTTAGCCTCAGATCCATGGCTTATTTGCTTCATGATTCGATACCATTATTCAGTTAGCATCAGATCCATGGCTTATTTGCTTCATGATTCAGATGAATAAATTAGTAGCATCGTTATATATGTTCATCAAATATGTTATCGATATAGGTGCAGTACGGTGAGAACTCAAAACACGATACAGATAATATTTTCTCTATCACTACATGAAACCTAATCTTTTTTCTTCCGATCTGTTGTCCAGAGAGACTATTGAGACAGTGGAGTAACTATAAAAGATTCCCGCATAAAAAGTGTAATTACGATTCTGACTGATTCAGCTCCCCCCCTTTTGGTTCGGGTCCTTCCGCAATTGCGGGGGCATACTTTTGCCATTGTAATAATAGGTGGAATTTCGTGAAATTGGTAGAACTCGGCGAGAAATGTTGAATCGAATAATAGAACAGAGGACTCATGTTTATTTCAAGAACGAGTTTTTCTTTTTCACTTAGTGGTGTTCGTCTAAAAGATTATAAATTTGTCCTTTCTATGATTTAAACATAACGTGCTCTTCCAATGATGTTTTACAAGTTCAGTATCTGTTGAATGTGCTGTAACATCCCGTTCACACTGTGAACATCATTTTCTATGATTTAAACATAACGTGCTCTTCCAATGATGTTTTACAAATTCAGTATCTGTTGAATGTGCTGTAACATCCCGTTCACACTGTGAACATCAAATAGTTTAGATCTCTCTATTACTTATAAAAGGGAATCAACAAGGTTTTGTCATATAAGTTGTTTATTAATTCTTTAAATTTAACATCTATCCATAGTTGACCATAAGGGGTCATACATAACATTCATAGCACTGACAGACATGTAGAAACAAAATAAAATATTGTTATTAACTCTTAAAATTATACACCTTATCCATAGCTGGCCATGGGAGGATATACATTCATCAAACTGATAGATATACAGAAACAACATAAAATATTGTTATTAACTCTTAAAATTATACACCTTATCCATAGCTGGCCATGGGAGGATATACATTCATAAAACTGATAGATATACAGAAACAAAATAAAATATTGTTATTAACTCTTAAAATTATACACCTTATCCATAGCTGGCCATGGGAGGATATACATTCATAAAACTGATAGATATACAGAAACAAAATAAAATATTGTTATTAACTCTTAAAATTATACACCTTATCCATAGCTGGCCATGGGAGGATATACATTCATAAAACTGATAAATATACAGAAACAAAATAAAATATAATTATTTATTCTAAATGTTTAACATCGTATCCATAGTTGGCCTAAGTGGATCATACATTCGTAAAACTGATAATAATTTTTAATTAACAAATTCTAATGAAAACTAATAATACAATTGTTTACGTAGAAAATTCTCGGTGAAAAAAAAAAAAACAGCCCGTCAAGTAAACTAAATAGTATAAAATAAGTTGAAATAAATTGTGAATAATAAAATCTTTTAACCCAGGTGAAAAACCTCATGTTACTGTAGTTTGTGTCAGTGAACGATTGATTGAAAATACGAACTTAACTTCCGACCAGAGCAAAACAAAAATTAAACTTTTTGCTCCTCAATTAAGTATCCTCGCTATTAAGTATATTTAATCTAAAACCACCGCATTATACGTTAGCACACAAAAAAAAAGTTAACTTAATCTAAATAACCTCTCGAATCCCTTACTTCCTAGAAAATTAGATGTTATTACTGTCTTTTAATCTAGCCTTACAATTGTGTCTTCTTTTCAGTATAAAAACTGTAACACAAATCTTTGAGACTTGAGTAAACAGGACAAGAGGGGCGTTATTTAAATACCTACTACAGAAGCTGAAACAGACCTTCTCAAAGGATGTGCGTGTAATATTACACGAATAAATTTTACTTTGAAAGCAAAATAGGTAATGTACGTACATTCGCCCAACTAGCTCTATCGATCATAAAAATCGTGTAATTTCACTTAAGTATTGTACATTTGATATGAGGTTTAGGGTTGCTTACATATTTAAAAGATCTTTATAGTAGCTTATTTTATAGCTACGTGCTACTGTTATCTTAGCTTTGTCTAGTTGGACTTCAGGTTTAACATTGCAATCCCGCAACTTTACCTAAAGAACTGTTTTATTTGTTTGTTCTTAAGTGCTAAGGTACACAATGGGCTGTCTGTGCTATACCCATCACGGGTATCCAAACCCAATTTTTAGCTTTATACGCCCTCGGAATTACCGCTAAGCCACCAGGGGGTGAACTGTCTTGTTAGCATTAAATACTGAAAAACACGATAACATATTGAATGTTGTTTTTGCATATTTGAAGAACACAATCAAAAACGTTTTTTTATATTTAATTTATTCCTTGACCTTAGAAAAAAAATATACATATAGCCTTCTGGCAACGTAAATTATTTGTTGCCATTAACAACCGGCACTATTAATGTAATGCTTTCATTCAAGAACGTTAGGTGGTGTTATGTGGAGTTTTCCGGTAGGACAGCGGTAAATTAACGGATTCTGAAATAATGAGTTCGATTCCTCTCGGTGGACAAAGCAGAAAGTCCATTGTGGCTTTGTTAAAAAAACAACAACACACAAACAAACAGTTATGTGGAATGCTCCTAGCGGCGATTTTTGAAAAGTTAATTATTTACAGGTTTATACATTGTTTTACTCATTTCAAACATTCGTTAAGTTCTATGAGTGCATATCAGTTTCTGACGCCGTTTGTCGTTCTTATTATTTATAAACCTTCTCAATTGAATGCTCTGCAATTAATTATAATAAACAACAACACTTGCTACGAATTTTTAAACTTTTAACGAGAGGGAAAAACTATATCTGGGGGCTTCAAGATAATAATAAAAAACAATAAGTTTTCAGTTCAGATGTTTGTTAGAACGTTTTCTGAATAAAAATTATTAATCTCGGGGGGCTTCTTGTTATCCCTATGAAACAAATTTAATTTTAAAACTGTGTGAGTCAATGTTATACGCGAAAAGAAATTTGCAGATGAAAAAATCGGGGTTTAGATGATATAAAGAGAAACTGGCATGAATCAAATGCTAAGTTTCGCCAAATTTTTTTATGCAGATTTTAATTTTGCGCTATTTTCTTACAGCTCCGAAATCCGGGGTTCGATTCTCCACAGTGGGCACCGATAATGTGGCTTTGCTCTAGGACAAGCAAACAAACTTTCTCCACCATATTCTCAAGTATCAGCTACACCTTTTGAAAAATGTTCAATTTGAGCAAGTTACACCATTTGCTATAGCTTGCGGTTATTTTCTCAGTTTGGGTCTGCACGAGAAATAGCCATTATAAGGTTTAATTTCAATAATGACGGGGAGGGTTGAGAATAGACCGATCGCAGTAATATCAATAATATTATTTTCTCTCTCATGATAATAAAACTTGTAATTGGTATACTCATTTTTCTAGTTATCCACTCTTTTTGTTTTCACTAGCTAAATATTACGATTTTTCTCACTTTTTTTTATATTTTGTGTGTGTGATATTTATTTATTTTGATTGATTGTTTGTTTGAAGTTATGCACAAAGCTACTAATATGTAACCTTATGACTCTCCACGAGACTGATATAGGGTATCGGCGATCGAATCTGATCCCTCTACGTCCTGGGACCCTTATGTCATCCCACTCCGTAGAACGGGAACGTCAGCTACTTGTAAATAAATTTTGTACAGAAGTTGAAACTGATTTCATGCCCCCCAGTGGCACAGCGGTATGTCTGTGGACTTACAACGCTAGAAACCAGGTTTCGATACCCGAGGTGGGCAGAGCACAGATAGCCCATTGTCATACCGGGTTTGGTGACAATCAGTCAAGTGTTTCGCCAGTTATAAACGGATACACAGGCTTTTGTCGAATAATGATTTAGATAATAACTGTTGATATTACAATAGGATTAACTTCTTTGGAGCAAATGTAATTCGAGTTTATTTTAGTATAAACAAATCAGCTACAGTCTCATTTCCTAATAAAGAGATAAGAAAAATGAAATAAAGCAACTGTAAATGGAAAATGTTATTTTTAATTGATGGTTTGACATTACTAAAGACATTTTTAAAGTCACTCTTATCATCTAATGAGTTTCGATTTTTCTGGGCTCATTCTTTTTTCTGTGCTTTTCTATTGTGAATGTTTCCGTTGTGATAGTTGGACCCGTTTCGAAGTTTCCCATTTACCACGGTTCCATTTTTTAGTCCATTATTTTCGAGAATTGTAGACCCGTTCATTATTTGGTCATTTCCATTTTTTCGCTCTCGATCTTTTTTTTCTTTCATCGTCATTTCTCGATTTTCTTCTTGCCTCTTAACGTAAGCATGGATATAAAAGTTGAGAAACATCACTAAGAAGAAGATGGCATGAGCAAGGATGGCATAGGCAAATCCGGGATGAAAGTCACAACCAGAAAACAGTGGAACGACGGCATGAAGTCCAATGAGTACAAACTGAACCTGTGGGAAGAGAAAAATACAATGTTTGTTTCAAAGTTTTCGCGCAAAGCTACACCTGTACATATCCGACTCTAATTTTAAACTAATAGACTACAGAGAAAGCAACTAATCAATAGCCAACTCTTTGGCTATTACTATCTGACCAAATAGTGGGATTTGACCGTCATTTTTATGACGCACCCACGACCCCAAATTGCGGAGAACGTTATTGCGACATCAGTCAACGAACCATGAACCCTCGGACTCATAGTCATATTGGTTACAGGGCCCATAATAACACATGAGCCACACAAAATCTTTGAACCAGAGTCCAATCAATATTGCAATTAATTCCACTCATTACTTCTAGGGAGAGTCCTTTTTTGTTGTTATTTCTCACAAAGAAAATGAGCGATTTCGTCCAATTATTTTGTTACTACTTCTTACCAATTGTTGCAACAGATAAAAACATAAAATTACTCAGTATGATAGGTTTTAATCACCATTAGTCAATAGTAAGAGAACAACTCGGTAACTTGAGGGTTAATAAAGAATTGAACAAATTATGGAAACACGGTACACTAACCATTAGATCACGCCCGGAGTTTTTGAATATATTCTTAAAATAACTATTTTGTTAAGTTATCTAATTCGTAAAGTAAAGTGAAAAATATATCTTCATCCTGTAAATGATACAATAATCTCGTGAATAAGTAGTCCTAAATTCGTCCTAGAAATCAACCTGCAGAAACGTAAAGTGTATATAATTCAGCGCACGTGTTGTTTTAAAGTTGATATTGTAACAAGGAGATTATTTATCCAGAAACAGCTCACCATTTGTATGATGGTGATATACTTCTTCCACCATAAATACGGCTTCATGTGGGGTCCCAGTGCGGCCAGGCAGTAGTAGGCATACATTATCATATGGACAAAGCAGTTGACGAAAGGAAAAAAGGCGTTCTGTCCACCTGAAATATACAGAAGAAACGATCACGTGTTTAGCTACATAAATTACTGGAGAGTGTTTGGAATAAACATTTTAAACAAAAAATAATAATAATGAAGGTTTGATTGTTGTTAAGTAAGAAACTACACTACACAATGGCCTACCACGGGTATCGAAATCTGATATTTAGTGTCGTAAGCCTGCAGACTTATCGATGAGTCAGCAGAGGGAACTATTGGTTAAATGTTAGCTTTTGTTTTTGTTTGTAATCAAGCACAAAGCTACTCAATGGGCTATCTGTGCTCTGCCCAGATCGAGTATCGAAACCCGGTTTCTAGCGTTGTAAGTCCGCAGACATAAATGTTAGCAAGTGACAGTGAGACTTTAATATAATATTGCGATTAATGTTGCCGACTAATAGGAAGATAATAATTAACAGACCGTCCATGGTACGTGAATAAACGCGTTTATAACGAGGACTTCTTCCTAAATTTCAGCAAAATAATTCGTAATATTCTTGAAATGAATCTCGCGGGAGTCGTTTTACTTGAAAGTTAAGTTATCAAACTTTACAAGTTTCATTGGTCTACTTACCAGATCACTTGATAACATCAATATGGTAAACAGTAAGTAAGGTATTGATCTTAACCCCAAGTTCTCACTATCTTAGAGTTGGATATGTTTTATGTAAATACCCTCTGGAATGCCTCAATTATTTCGTCATTGTTTCTATATGACTTGGAAAGGTAGCCAGTAAATATATCCTATAGATTGACAAAGTTTTAACTTAGAATGCTGTAACTGGATACGCAGCTACAAGGCTTCATTTATAAGGATATAAGGCCTAAAGAATGTTACCCACTCACTGAAATACTACCTGAAAATATGTGTAAATACATTCCAGGTCTCAAGGAGCTCCCACCGCGACATAAATTACGTGTTTGTCACTTTCTATTATTCAGTCGTATTTTGATTAATTACCCTAAATATCATAGTCTAAGATAACGTGGTCCTAAATATCGTAGCCCTAGATTTCGTAGCTCTAAATATTGCACTACTAAACAACGTTGCCCTTAGATATCGTAGTCTTAGATAACGTAGCCCTAAATATTGCACTACTAAACAACGTTGCCCTTAGATATCGTAGTCTTAGATAACGTAGCCCTAAATATTGCACTACTAAACAACGTTGCCCTTAGATATCGTAGTCTTAGATAACGTAGCCCTAAATATTGCACTACTAAACAACGTTGCCCTTAGATATCGTAGTCTTAGATAACGTAGCCCTAAATATTGCACTACTAAACAACGTTGCCCTTAGATAGCGTATAACGTAGCCTTAAATGGTGTAGGCTTAGATGGCTTAGCGCCACCCCGCTTGTCTCCTTGAGAGATTATTATTTTTTCACCAGATAGGAAAAAAAATTGGAAAATCCATAACACTCTGAACACTACTTTTTCATACTAATGGTAGTACGGCACTAAAAATTTTTATTTGATAAAATAATGCAACAAAGAACATAGAATAACAGCATGCAAAAAGCAGACAATGTCCTGTAACTATCACAATTTTTCTGGCGTTTCTAGCCATGCAATATGAACCGTTAAAACGTCATCCATCCACAAAATATCTTCCCGTCGGAAAAAAACATTTTCTTAAGACGCGATCTACAAATCTCTATACAGAAAACAACGTAATATAATACGTCATTTGATAAACGAAAACCTTTCATGTCTATTGGCTGTAACTAATATAGCCATAAACGTAAGAGAGAAATACATGTATTGACAAATCCCGAAAGAGAGGATGTAACAGGTGGGCGTGGCAGGAGGAGTCTGATTTTCTATTTGATGGCTTTGTAACCAAACAAGATTGAAGGCTAATACAAATTTGCTTTTTTACAGCGATTTAAATTTTATACTTACTGGAGGAGTGATAAATAAAATAGAGAAGAGAGGATGCTTAGAGAAACAATGTCACAATTCCCATATTAGGATTCAGGATTTTTTTTTTCGTATTGATGTCCATTACCCACTGCCTCACGTACCTGTTGCCTCGCCTACCTACCGCCTTCCATATGGGGTCGGTGCCAGTTTGATATATTTTTTTTGTTTTTTAATACTGTTTGTGTTCATTTATTTTAATAAATAACACTGTACTGTAACAATCTATGTTTACCAGTACCTAAATAAAGTACTTATACATCATTCCCCAGTAAGAAACAATGCTTTCAGTTACATACCTTCATATATGTAATGAGAGCTGATTCATTCAGAGCTCTGTTCTCAAGAACCCTTTCTGAGAGTTAAACGGGGTATTACTGTATTAGATAATGTAGTACTATATAACGTAGTACCAGAAAATGTGGTATTGTATAATGTAGTACTATATAACGTAGTACCAGAAAATGTAGTATTGTATAATGTAGTACTATATAACGTAGTTACAAATATTGTAGTCCTAAATAATGCAGTACTATATAAGATATTCCAAAATATTGTAGTCCCAGATAACGTAGTCTCAGATAACGTAGTCCTAAATACTGTAGTAAGTGAGAGGAGTTTGTTTTGTTGATTATCAGAGGAACAATTGTTATAAATCGAGACCCCTTACCCACAGGAGGGAATAATTCTTTCCATTAGTGTTACTCAGTATCGCATGAAACAGTAGATGGGGTGAATAATTGAAGACCTCTTATCTTGGCTATCTATTCAGCTCCCAATTTTTAACTGCTAGGCGAGTAAATTCCTCCCCCCCCCCGATAAAAATTGTGAAATATTGTTAACCCCGTCAAGGGCATACATCAAGGGGTTTTCCCCATAAATCAAGTATCGTAATAATGGCTGGAGACGGCTTGAATGTGTAATGAAGAAAAACTTTAATATACGTTTTCTTCATTACCCATTCAAGCCGTCTCCAGCCATTATTAGTCTCAAAGTGGGTTCCTCGTCATCGAATTTCAAGTATCGTAATGATTCACTCCGAGATTTTAGTTTATGTGGCGAAACATTTAACACTTATATCCTACTGATTAATCAATAACAAAGGAAACAAATCTTTAATCTGGATAATTCAGAGCTTAGACCCCGTTCAAAAGATACACTCTCTTGACATATGGGTTGTAACTGTATGCAATCATTACGTTCCTCTGTTTGTTTGTTTCTGAATTTCGCGCAAAGCTACACGAGGGCTATCTGCGCTAGCCGTCCCTAATTTAGCAGTGTAAGACTAGAGAGAAGGCAGCTAGTCATCACCACCACTCTTGGGCTACTCTTTTACCAACGAATAGTGGGATTGACCGTCACATTATAACGCCCCCACGGCTGAAAGGGCGAGCATGTTTGGTGTGACGGGGATTCGAACCCGCGACCCTCAGATTGCGAGTCAAGTGCCTTAACCACCCGTCCATGCCGGGCCTTAAGTTCCTTTAACTTTTGTTGAAACTTAAGACCTTGAGTTTTTTAAAAATCAAAGAAATTGGACAACTTATATGTAATGTTATCCAGCCATTAGTAACGACCATGAAGACTATCTAAAATAAAGCCGTTTTTACCTCTAGATATACACGTGTTTCTTCTAAACCCAAGGTCCTGGCGTGTTTTTCTCAGTGTTTGAAAAGTTAATTTGTTTTACGAAAAACAAAAGAACGCATAAGGCATAACGCAAGGTCTTGCAAATTTAGTTAATCAACACCTTTTATGCATTGTGTTTTATGTTGTTTAGAGTTTAACATCGCCAGACTAGTACTAAATAACGTAAGATTTGGTCGAATAGTGTTTTATGTTGTTTAGAGTTTAACATCGCCAGACTAGTACTAAATAACGTAAGATTTGGTCGAATAGTTGAAAAATGCTTTTCGCTCACTAACAACCATGTTGTTTAGAGTTTAACATCGCCAGACTAGTACTAAATAACGTAAGATTTGGTCGAATAGTTGAAAAATGCTTTTCGCTCACTAACAACCATCTGTGGTTTTCACTCATTGGTTTCGAAATTAACATATTTCCAGAAACTTGTTTTTTTAACTCCATGCCCCATGTTTTGGGTTCTTTCCTGTAACTGTTCTCGAACCCGTTGAGCAGACATGGTAATAAACATTTAAACAGAAAGAACTGAATGCTTTTCCTAGTGTGAGTACCAAGAGTGCAAAGAATGTATAATTAGGTGTCTACTCCAAGTTGTGTTTTCAAATATAAGTTACTTACCAGCACCAAATTTCATACCAATCCAGACACCCCATGCAATGAGGGAATGGTGAGTGACGTGAAGTGCTGAAATGTGGGTAAACTTCTTTCTCAAGACGAAAAAAATCTGCAAGAAAACGCACGTCACAGTCAGCATAAAGACTTAGGTATGGAATCGCGTGCGGAATAACTACTACAGAATTGCAGGTTTAAAACTGAGATTCGTGTTCGGGCTATGGAGAGAAGACACGGAAAATAGGATCTACTATAGAATTAGTTCGATAGAGCAGAGATGCACCACAAGCACAGAGTAGATGGGAAACAGAAAAATTCTGCTTAAAACAGAAATGTTTATTAGCAGAGAATATTGAAATGAAAAATACTTTGTTTAAGAAAAAAATTCACATCAGAAGCAGAGAGAAGTTAAGACAGAGAAGACTTCCTATAGAATTACTTTAATAAAACTGGGATATCTGTCAAAAACACTCACACCCCAGCAGTTGAGATTTGTAACAATACTGTTGTTTAAAAATAAAAATAACATTAAATATTAACAATGGCGACTACTAACTTTGACTGCGTAATGCTGGTAACTAATAACTTTGAGTATGTAATGTCAGTGACTACTGACTTTGTCTATGTAGTATTACTAAATACTATTTTGGTTGTGTAATGCTGGTAACTAATAACTTCGATTATGTAATGTCAGTAACTACTGACTTTGTCTATGTAGTATTACTAAATACTATTTTGATTGTGTAATGCTGGTAACTACTAACTTGGGTTATATAATACAGGTAGCTACTGGGTTTGTCTATGTAATATTAGTAATATTTATTCAAGTACAAACTTTTAGCGAATAGCTCCGCCATCTCTTGACCGATTTGAGATCTAATTACAGTTTTGAACTCAGGAGATCAAAACCCTTTCGGTTAGTGTATTTGACCACGCCCAAGGTCTCATAGATTAATTCACTCTAATGCTGCCTAAAAGAATTTCAAGTGCCGTGGCTATTGAGAATTCCCTCTTGTGTTTTAGATATTTTGCTAGTTGATAATATTTCCTAATATCTTGTCATCTGCTATTGATTCTATTGTCTTTCTTGCATATAAAAACCGATTTTTATCAAGCACTGAACATGTGTAAATAACGTTTAAAATAACATGGTGCCTGCGTTTCTTTGCTCTGTGTAAATGAGGACACTTGTTGAGGATTTTGTCGTGTCCAGAAAGTTTCATGAAAGATTTAGGTAATTTTGTTATCAGGCTTTTGGTAGGAGTAACACTAATGTACTCGTCAGTCTTAGCTAGGTAGTTTTGTATTAAGACACTGCATAAGAAAAGTACCTAACTTTATTTTGTGTTAGGTCACTTTTCAAAAATTGATTATGCGTAGAAAATAGTTATGAGTGCGTTTCGTAATCCTGTATCGAGCCTATGGCTAGACACTGAAGTAACACAAGATATCTCTTGAGGTGTGCCGGGCGTAATCTAATGGAAAATTAGTGCGTTTCGTAACCCTGTATCGAGCCTATGGCTAGACACTGAAGTAACACAAGATATCTCTTGAGGTGTGACGGGCGTAATCTAATGGAAAATTAGTGCGTTTCGTAACCCTGTATCGAGCCTATGGCTAGACACTGAAGTAACACAAGATATCTCTTGAGGTGTGCCGGGCGTAATCTAATGGAAAATTTTCCCGACAGTGAATCCGAAGATGAACAGTTTGAAGCCTATTGCCTCAAAAACGCGCTCCGCATTTTGGGGCTATGGATGCAATAAAAGAATGACGGTCAAGTGCCACTATTCGTTCAGACAACAATAGCCCCCAAAATTGATAGTGGATGCCGTTCACTAGCTCATTCCCCTCTAGTCTATCAGTTCAATATTATGGACGGCTAAGCGCAGATAGTCCATTATTGTAGCTATGAGAGAAAATTCTAAAAAAAAACATATTTTCCGCGACCTGCTCACGAGCGAAACTACCTATTTCACTAGATTGATCAAGTCCCTCTTCGGGCCCCAAGGGTTCTGATTGCATAACTGGCTATTTGTTTGTTAGTTTTGTGTAATGGGGCTGTACTATTCTAACTGTTAATTAGAACACCTGCATAGCGCACCTTTTTTTTTTATAAGTAAACATAAACTATACTTTATCCTTTATTAGTTACCTCAGGTTATTTTAGCAACAGTTCCTTCATTAATTCTTTTTATAAGTAAACATAAACTATACTTTATCCTTTATTAGTTACCTCAGGTTATTTTAGCAACAGTTCCTTCATTAATTCTTTTTATAAGTAAACATAAACTATACTTTATCCTTTATTAGTTACCTCAGGTTATTTTAGCAACAGTTCCTTCATTAATTCTTTTTATAAGTAAACATAAACTATACTTTATCCTTTATTAGTTACCTCAGGTTATTTTAGCAACAGTTACTTCATCAATTCTTTTTTTTTCGGTGCTTCTACCATACTGTGTTGGACTTTAACAGCTTGCTTGACCAACAACCTCGTTCATATAGCGAAACACGAAGGTAGAACTATTCAGACCAATGGGCTCTTCAAGTTTCACAACATTACTGACCTTATGGGAACTTCCTAGTGGTATTCCCACGCATGATGACGTAAATTACTATAGTTAGATACCTGATTTCTGTGTATTATTTTTTTTTCTCATTTCTTAACCTTTAAATACTTGTGTCTGGAACAGGGTTAATGTCAGTATGCCCGTGAAGGTCTCATTGATGTGTTTTGAATTTCGCGCAAAGCTACACGAAGGCTATCTGCGCTAGCCTAATTTAGAAGTGAAAGATTAGAGAGAAAGCAACTAGTCAACACCACTCACCGCCAACTCTTGGGCTACTCTTTTACCAACAAATAGTGGGTTTGACCGTCACATTATAACGTCCCACGGCTGAAAGGGCGAGCATGTTCGGTGTGACGGGGTTTCAAACCTGCGACCCGCAGTTTGCGACTCCAGCGCCCGAACCACCAGGCCATTATTGACGTCATCTTAGGTAGACTTATGAGATAAAGTTTCCATACTTATACTAAAACACTGATCTGATAATGAGCCACAGTTTGCTTTAAAATCGAGTATGAGTATCTTCAAGGGACTTAAATTCCGACCACTACTACCTTTCACGAAGGTTAAATTTGATTGCGACTACCTTCCACAAAGGTTAAATTTGATCACAACTACCTTCCACAAAGGTTACATTTTATTACGACTTCCTTCCATATAGGATAAATTTGATCACGACTGCCTTCCACAAAGGTTAAAGTTGATCACAACTACCTTCCACAAAAGTTAAATTTTATTACGACTTCCTTCCACATAGGATAAATTTGATCACGACTACCTTCCACAAAGGTTAAATTTGATTACGACTACCTTCCACAAAGGTTAAATTTGATTACGACTGCCTTCCACAAAGGTTAAATTTTATTACGACTACCTTCCACAAAGGTTAAATTTTATTACGACTACCTTCCACAAAGGTTAAAATTTTATAACGACTACCTTCCACAAAGGTTAAATTTATTACGATTAGCTTCCACAAAGGTTAAATTTGATTACGACTACCTTGCACAAAGGTTAAATTTGATTAGACTACCTTGCACAAAGGTTAAATTTGATTACGACTACCTTGCACAAAGGTTAAGTTTTATTACGACTACCTTCCACAAAGGTTAAAATTTTATTACGACTACCTTCCACAAAGGTTAAATTTTATTACGACTACCTTCCACAAAGGTTAAATTTTATTACGACTACCTTCCACAAAGCTTAAATTTTATTACAACTACCTTCCACGACTCTCTTTTCTATTTATTGATTTTTTAAAACAAATCTGAATCGACGAAGTTGCAGCGTCGGTTGATCTACTATTATCGTTTTGTAATTGTCCATTTTTAGAAATGTGATGTTATTCCGTTCTTCGTGGGACTCGGCATGGCCAGGTGGGTTAGGGCACTCATCTCGCAATCTGAGGTTCGCTTGCCTTTTCAGCCGTGGGGTTGTTATAATATGACGGTCAATCCCACTATTCGTTGGTAGCCCAAGAGTTGGCGATAGGTGGTGATGATTAGCTGCCTTCCCTCTAGTCTTTCTCTTTTAAATTAGGGACGGCTAGCGCAGATAGCCCTCGTGTAGCTTGGCGCGAAATTTAAACCGTTTTTCGTTACTATTTACACTTAATAAAATATCATGTTATTCATGTTTTTCGCCTTAAGAAAACAAATTCAGACGTTATAAAACGTCTGCTATCGCATACATAGGCGATCAAAATAAAACAGTAGTCAATTTTAGCTTTTCGTGCCTATTCTATCGTTCAACACTCTTTACCCTACTTTCTCTTGTATAGCCAAAACGCCTATGACCTATAACCAATAAAATTTTAAATTAAGATACAGCATAACATAGGATTAAGTAAAATTAGTCCGTTGGAAACGTAAAGCAGTCGTTACCTTTTTCTTGTTCTAGATGAGTATTGTGAAGTAATATTTAAGTTTTTTCAAGTCTGTTTCTGGCTAAAGTGGATGTTTTCGATAATCTGCCTTCTCACTACTTTAACAGTTAAAACTTAGGAGTGGTTATGAGAAGATAACTTTTCTCTAGCTTTTAACAAAGTTCTGAAATAAACAAACAAGCCATATTTACAAGCTTCTGACTTAAAATCCATATGGACTAATTTAGGGGAATGTGTAAAAAAAAATAAAACAAGAAAATCAGTAGTCTGTCGTGAATTTTTATCACGATTATTAGGCCAATGTTTTTATTGCGATCGTTTAATAATAAAACAAAGGTCGCTTTATGCTAAAGTCAAGATTATTTAAGCTACGTGTTTTTTTCATAGCTACTGCTGAATGATTATCACATTTAAAATTCGATTCGATACTTGTAAATAGATCATTTTTAGAAGAAAAATAAAACATGCGGAAATAAGATAAAGAAACAAGTTACCTGATTAAAAGTATATCTTTTTAGAAATAATAAAAAAAAACTAATAACAGAATACAAACACAAGAGAGTCAATACAAATATCAAATAACCAGTTATGGCCTGTTGTGGTGCGAAAAACAACGAATAATTTAACTTTCTGGCATATTCACGTTCTTAGTGAAGCGATTTCTCATGCAGGAACAGTAACTTTCGAACAGTGCTAGGCTCTTTGACCGAGATTTGTTTTTTAATAAATAAAAAAAAATGATAATTTTATTATCTTGCCTAGTTGACTTCATCGAATAAGCATTATAGATGCAAAACAGTTTGTGTGTGCATGAATATATGTACGTGTCTGTACAGCATATTGTTACGTATCTGTTTGTTTGATAATTTTCGGTAAAAATTCTTTCCGAGTGACTTCAGCCACACAAGTCCCTTCTTGATTAAAACTAGTTTGTTTTTCTGGTTACAAACTTTGTAATGCATTTAATTTCCAAATTCACT